CTGCCAGGGGATGCGAAATGTTTCACCAGATGGGGCGCTGTCACGAAGCACCGCGAGGTGGCTTAGACCGCAGAAGTGCGTTTCTCACAGGGTCCCAGACCAGGTCTCGCTTCTGCGGTCCTGTCTCGGGGCTCACGGGCACCACGCCTTGCTTTGTGCACGGGGTCCTCAGGGTTTCTGCCGGAGACAGCAGCAAGCTCTGTGCTCCCTCTTCTTCCTGGGGTTCTCCTCCATCGCTGACCCCACCTCATGCCCTCCTGTAACCGCTCGCCTCCCTCAAGGCCGTCACATGGACCGTGAGGGCTTTGGGACAGGAATTCGGGGGGGGGGCGTTTTTAGTCCATGATAGGAGACAGTCCCCCTCCAGCCTCCTGCATGGCCTTGGGCGTGTTGCCCTCTGGGATCAGGACCCTGGGAATTAGCGCAGTAAACCCCCTGAGTCTTGGCTCCTCCTACTGCTATGAGCCTGCCACAACCCCAAATGCATGGCAGGCTGACTCGTGACTTAGTGGGCTAAAATCTCAGACCCCTCAGGGTTCTTAGTAATATCTAAGTTAGAAAACACACACACATGCACACACACACACACACAAATAAACCAGAAAACGTGTGCTAGGCAAGAAAAATTTACATATGAATAAATAAATAACTCCTAAGCTAAGGTGTAGTATGAATACTGAATAGAATATTTAATATTTTAATTGTTATTATATCTAAGGCTTTCATGAAACATCACCATCATTTCTTTTCTAAAAATCAGTCGAGCTCATTCCTCAAGGAAAGCCTTAGCACAGAGAGAACAAATTTTCTTCAATGGAAATGGTTTGAATTACCATGAAATGCTTTGGCATTTTTAATCCAAATTCAATCCAGTATAATTTATTAGTTGATGAAGTAATTTCTTTATTGGATAAAGTTTATTTGCCACATATGTACAGAATGTGACGAGGCAGCAGGCCTTCTTCAATACTATCTAACAACATAAAGGGCCAGGAAAGTCCTCGTGTGTAAGAAACTGAAATTCTCCTCTGGGAGATAGTACACAGTACAGAAATACCTATGATTTCAGGTAGTGAGAAATGAGTTAAAGAGAATAAAGTCACCAGAGGATAGAGTAATAAGGGAGGCTAGAAGGCTTATCCTACAGACAAGGTCTCTCCGAGAAGGGGCTCTGTGGGTGGACCCCTGCGTGTCCCCAAGGACAAAGATTTAGAGGACAGGACAGGGTGGAGCCATGGGGACAGATGAAGCCCATCCAGGGAGGGACAGGGGCAAGGCAAGTGGAATGACAGAATCCAACTCCAGGTGAGCGCCGGGCAGGAAAGACTGCAGAAGGCCACAGCCAGCCGGGACACTGCACGAGTGTTCCTGGAGGTCCTTCCAGGGTGAAGACGGGTGCTGCTGGCCGCAGGGGCTGCGTCAGGGTACACATGGGCAGCACTGGCACTGTTGGACGGGCAGCATTCCAGTGGCGACGGTGATGATCATGGCAGAGGGGATGCCCTCCTGGGAAGAGGAGTCCACAGGGCTTCATGCAAGAACTGACAGGAGACTCGAATGCAGTGTGGGGAGTCTTTCCAAGGTGGCTCCCAGGCTCTTACCTGAGCAGTGGGCTAAGCAGTGGTAACTTTGGCTGAGGAGATGGGATCGGTGGGCTTTGTGGGGGACATCATATTACTTTTGTCATAGAAATTCGAACTTTCTGCAGTGCACTAGAGTGGGCTTGCTGAGAGTGTGTTCCGGTAGACGCAGAGTCCAGACAACACTGTGGCAGCTACTGCTGTGTAACAGCCACCACCTGCCTCCAGGCTGTGTGCTCCAGCAGAAGCAATGTGATTTCTTTTGCTGATCTGTGACTGGAGCAGGGCTTCCTGGGGATTTGCTTCTGTTCCATGTGGTGCCAGCTGGGCCATCTCGAAGGCAGCAGGGGTCCAGGGCCGTCCAGAGCCTGGTATGCAGCTGGTGGCTGATGATGGGCACTGTCAGTGTCCGGTGGCCCGGCCAGGACTCCCCCACGTGGCCAGTGCATGTGGCGGTGTGGCTTCCCTGTAGCTCGGTGTCTGGGATCCAAGAAACATCCTGAGAGGGGCAGAGCTATGTGGAGCTATGCTGCAGTCCCTGCCCTGGACTTAGGGCCCCACAGCCTTCCTTCTACCTCTCTCAGCCCATTAGAGGTAGCTCTGTAAGGGGGGCTTGCAGTGGGGGGACTAGACCTCACGTGTAGCAGGCAGTGTCAGAATATTGGTGGGCACATTTTACAACCATTAAGATAAAAGTGCCTCATCAGTAGGAAAATGGAGGGACCCTGAGATGATAGTGTTAAGTGAAATAATCAGATACACAGCTTAAATATCTCATGCTTTCTCTTACATGAGAAATCAAATTATAAATAAAGAATAAAATAAAAGATAGATATAGTGGACCCTCGAGTTATGACTTCCCTCACATATGGACAACTTGGGTAATGAGTGACCAGAATTTTAGTTTTCACTTATGACCAAAGTCTTGAGTTATGGCCAAATGCTGGTCTTTCTTGTGTGGGACTAAGAAATTCTGGGCCAATGTCTCCCTAAAGACACCGAGATCACCCGGAAGAAAGCGTGGCCTAAGATTATACAGGAGAGAGACTTTGAAGGCTGTGTAGCAGAGCCTGAGCCTTCAACTGACCCTGTAGTTGATGACACTGTTAGTATAGCAGAGTCCATGGCCTGCAGGTAGATAGTGGCAATGTTGAGGAACTGGTGGAGGAACACTCAGAGGAACTGTCCACAGAGGAACCTCAGCAACTTCTGGCTGAGCAGCAGAGAATGGCAACAGAGGAGCTTTCTGAAGAGAAGGGGGCGTATCAGCAATCAGTACAGCAGAGTCCTTCTTCTGGGATAAAGGAAATTCTGAGAAAACCGACAGAGCTACAAACATTTATAGAGAAGACCCACCCAGACAGAGGAAAAGCCAATCGTTGATTTCACTTGGTTAATGACAATGTCAGGTCATACTATAGAGCAGTGTTAAAGACAGAAACAGACAACCTTAGACCAGTTTTTAGTTCTGAAAAGGCTGAGACCTAGTGAGGCAGAAGCAGGTCTTAGTGGGCTACAGACTCTCCCAAGGAGAGAAAGGACACAGAGAGCCAATTCCTGATGTTCTCATGCAGGGGACTCTCTTCCAAACAATACCCACCTTCCACTCAACCTCCCTTCCTGCAAGCCAGAGATGTCAACATGAATGCTGAGTACAGGATGAAATTGTGGCTTCTGGTAAACCAGGCACATTTTATAACTTTTTGGTGAATACACTAGGAAAATTATTGGTGTTTGTGGTAAACTAGACACATTATACGATGCTTTTTATGATGAAAAAGTTACTTAAGGGGTGCCTTGGGAGGCTCGGAACACATTATGAGTACTTCCATTATTTCTTATTGCAAAAAGTCCTACAAACAACTTGAGTGACAGCCAGCCCTTGTGAAGGAATTGAGATCGTAAGTCAGGGGTGTACTGCAATAGGAAGTAGGGAAAGAGATCTTTCTCAAAGGGGAAGGGTACCAAGCGATGGGGAAGGAAAGGGGTAGGAGGGAAGAGAACAGAAAGAGGTTAAGATGTGTAAAGTTCATGCACCAACTCCCCAGGAAGAATGTAACAGTGTGTACTACGAACAGGTACGAATAAAAATAAAAAATAACAGAGGACGCTGAGGGCTCAGCCTCCGAGGGTCCCCAGCATTGAGAGTCTCTACAGGAAGCATAGGAGGAAAGGGAGTCCAGGAGAACAGAGCGCCCTGAAAGCCAGAGGATGAAGACCGTTTCTTGGCGGAGAGACAACTGGGCCAAATACTGCAATGGCCCAGACAGGGACTGTAAGGTGAGGCCAGTGGACCAGGGGCTAGATAGCAGGAGCTAGGAGCTGTTGGGGACTTTGACAAAAGGCAGTTTTAGTTGTGTGGTGACATCAGAAACCTGAAGAGAGGGATTGAAAGGGATAATAGGGGAGGTAGAAAGCCAGGCACATCTTTTGCCTTCTTCCACGGTTTTGGCTCTGTGCAGGGCCCACAGGACCAGGGTACAGGTGACCAGGGCAGAGCATGGGCTCTGCTTTGTCGCCCTACACTGAAGTTTTAGTGGGTGAATCATCTCATTCCAACACAAAAGGAGGACTATTTGTTGGTTCTTAAGATTGATTTACAAAGTAGTTATGGCCCTCAACTGACAGCAGGAAGCTTTCAGCAGACAGATAGAAAACAAAGCAAGATATTATTAATCACTGGTAAATTCCCAATGAAAATTGGCGATAAGAAATTACACATAAGTGCATTTTCTGTTGTTAAATTGTGTTAAAATTTCCTTTTCATTTTAAGCAAAAGAGAAAAGACAGTTCAAAGTGGATTTCCCTGGGAAGAGTACTAACTACCCAGGGTGATCTGCCTCTCCTTTTTAAACCTATCCTTCAAAACCACACTCAATTAAGCCAATCATATGTTCTAAGTAAAACTATGACTAATATCAGCCAATACTTACCTAGGGCCTGTTTTCTAGTGATCAGTGATCTAAACTCACCATGTTCAGTTAGTCTTTACAGTACTCAATACTCAATCCCACCACCAAGCTTTGAGATGAGTTTATCCTACTCTTGAGGAAACTGAGGCTCAGAGGGGTCAAATAAATGACTTCTCAGAGTCAAGCACCAAGGAGCGGGTGGACCCAGACATCTCCAAGCAGCTGGCCCAGCCTGGGCTCCTCTCCTGGGCACACCCTGCCCCCACGAGCGGGCTTACGAGAAAAGGCAAGCAACCTACAACTGCTTTACGAGACTTTTCTTTAAGTGGCCAAATAAAATTTTATTGAAGTATTTAAAAGGTACACCTCTCCATTAAGAAGAGAATGTGAAACTCTCAGCCATGTAAGTGATTTATTTTTAATTTAAAAAGTTTTTTTTTTTCAGTGTAGAAAAAACCCTGCAATGCTATAAAAATACCCCAACACAGAGTGGGAATGCTAATTGAGCCTGGACCTTCAGGGAGCGGAGGGTTCTGTCTCGAAAGCAGCTTTGGTGGAAAGATGAAGACTAGGTGGGGCTAGTAGTGGGAGGCTTCATCCCGAGGCCAGGCCTGCGGTCAGCCCCGGGCCATCTCCCAGGTCTCAGAAGTGTGCAGGGCGCTGCCTTTCTCCAGATTCCAGCTCCGGGAAGCCACTGAATAAGGGATATCAGTCACATCGTATGAGCCCTGATGTGGCTGGTTTCCTTGCCTACTTACACATCAGCATCTGGCTAGGAAATTCAATTCATAAAAATACACTTGAGACCTTCTGTGTACGGAGACTCCTCTACGGCCCCAAGGAAATACGATGAAGAACTGAGTCCCCAAAGAAGCTGATGTTCTCCTCTCTAAAATGGAAGAAAGGCAAGTAACAAGGTAATTAGAGCGCACAGTAGGTACAGTTATGGCTTGGGGAGCGGCAGATTAGAATCTAAATGTGGGTTACAGTTCAGTTAAACTTTGAATAATAAATACCGCTGCTTGGAGCAGGGCATAACAGACAGACATTTTCAGCAAAAGCAAGAACACATAAGAAGGTTTTAAAAGACAAAATATTGGCAATATATGCACATTCAGTTTTAGTAAAAATAGATGCTGAGTTTAATGGAATCAAACAATATACACATATCCCAATACTGGGGACAATCACCCCACGTTTCCGTTAGAGTATGGCCAGGAAAATAGCACTATGGCCTTCGTCACTCTTTCCTATGCAGTATGAATGGTTTCATCAGATCGTAACCAGACAAAGCCTAAAATACTGTTCAGTTCAGCTCTGTGGGGGTGCTCTGGCCGACTCCTGTGTCAGGCTGGAGGCTCTCACTCTAGGACAAATCGGGGACCCATGACTATCTGTCTCCTCTTCTAGAGCCAGATGGGAACAGAGAGCAAAATTTCTGCTTTATTGATGTTTGGGTAGGAGTCAACTAGCAGAATTAAGACTCCCTTTTGGGTGAGTTATCTTGAAGTCAGATCTTGATGGAAATATTGGGAAACACATTTGGTCATAGGAGCAGTCCATAGTATCCAATATAGAGCAAGAAAGCTCACAGGCACTGTGACCTCTACCTGCTTTCTGTTTGTGTCAGTTGCTTTGTGTGTATCCAGCGTCGTTAGGACATGAAGAATCTTACCTCAGAGAGCTGATGTAAGAATCATCTGACATTACGCTGTATGGCTGCCTTATGATGCTTAGCACATATTTGGTGAAGAGTTAGTTTCTTTCTTTCACATCCTGCTCCAAAAGCCTCAGAATCTTAGAGGCAGAGGTTTGCAGAGACTTCAGTCTCCTTTAACCCCTTTGTTAGTGTCGGGACCATGTTCCCTTCCTGTACTTGAGTCTAATGAAAGAGAATCCACTACTTTGTGATTAAATCTAAATTTACCAGTAGCACAAATCCTTTCATAAGATGAAAAGCTTTAATTATGAGAAAGCTCTGTTCCGACTGCAGTCTGCCTATCTCTCAAGGTCCATTACTGTCCAGAGTGTGTGTGCTGGAGAGAGATCCATAAGTACCATTTCTACTGTGTGGTAATCATTCAAATGTACAGCCTCCTTCCTCATCCTAATCTCCCCAGAGACAAATCCCTCTTTCCAGGAGTTAGTGAGTCCTGGGGTGCAGTTGGACAGGAAGATATCTTGTAATACTATAGCATAGTAGGGTAACTACTAGGGTTTGAATAAATGTCCCCCAAAGGCCCAGCTATTAAAGGCTTGGGCATCAGCCTGCACTACTGGGACATGGGGGACCTTTAAGAGGTGGAATGTGGGGCAAGCTAGACCACTGGGAGACATGCACTTGAGGGGGTATCAGGGTCCTGCCCTCTTCTTCTTTCTTTCTTTGCTTCCTGGGCACCAAGAAGGAGAAGTCTTCTCTGGCACGAGCTCCCACCATGATGTCATGCAACAACTCTGGACCCAAGACAACCATGCTCTGAAAATTCAGAGACCATGAGTTAAAATAAACCTAACCTCCTTATAAGTCGAGTATTTCACATGTTTTGTCATGCCAATGGAATGCTAACAACATCATGACTGTGGTTAATCACAATTATTTGTCCATTTCAAAGTAACAGTAGAGAGGATTTTGAAGGTGTGCAACACAAAGAAATAATAAATGTTTGAGGCAATGGATATGGCAGTTACCCTGATCTGATCATTACATATTGTACATGGTATACATGCACTGAAATACATATTGTAATATGCTCAATGATGTATCAATTAAAAAAATAATCAAACTTTCCTCAGTCCCTCCCTGCTCAGTATTGGACACAGCAATGGCTCAATATTGACTGGCATCTCTTCTCATGCTGACAGCTCAGCAGTCTAGTTGACATTTGTCTTTCTTTGAAAAGAGTCGCTCAAGTTTAGCATCCTCAGAATGGAACTCTTGCTCTCTACCAGTCCTCCACACCTTCTTCTAAAGTTGGCCTCTCAAAATAAATTATACTGGACCAGGGTAAAACTCAGCAGTAGAGCATCTGCCTCACATGCATGAGGCCCTGTGCTTGATCACCACCTCTACCAAACTAAATCCAAAAAACTAATAAAATGTCTCTATCCACCCAGCTGTCGAGCGAAAATTTAAGAACCACTTTTGCATATTCTCTTTTCTACCCAATATATCATCCAAGAGCAGATCTTAGGTAAACTTTTTATATATCTTTTAAATCTATTCAACTGGCTCACATTTACCACCTACAGCACGGTCGCAGATGACTTTATAGCCACCTGGGCACTGATAAAGGACTTCTCATTGGTTTCCTGATGGTACTTTAACCCACTTAACCACAGCTTTCATGAATTAGAATAATCGTTTTCAAATTAAAGAACAGATCACGATGTCCTCCAACTTAACCTCCTATAAAATCTTTCATTGTATTTAGTATATATTTTAAAAAATTATCATACCATAATAGTCTTTTCTTAGCTCTCTACTCTCATCTTGTACAGTTTCCTCCTTGTCTTCACAAATGTATTCTACACTTTTCCCTCCTATTTTTGTTCTTAGCATAAGTCAAAATTTCCCCAGTTTGGGGCCACTGCGCATGCTGCTGCCCTCCTGGAAAGCCTGATGTGGTCTCTTTGTGAGGCTCCCTACTGCCTGTGTCCCAGCAATGGGGACTCCCAGGGAGGTTTGCCCAAACCAGTCTAGACCCCATCATTATGTGTCACAACGCCATCTTGCATTTCCTGTCTGGACTTCATCACTTTCAGAAGTTGTCTTCATTTGTTTCTATTGCCTGTTTTCCATCAGAGTATATTTTTTATCTCATTATCTCTAATATCTAAAACAGCTTGGCATGTGATACATGTGAAGTAGATATTTGTTTAAAGAATGAATAAATGAGGCTATGTTTAAAGTATTGGATGTTTAAAATGTGAATTTCAGAGATTTAAAACCCATGGCTGATGAGAAGTGTCCAAATATGGTCATAAATGTGGTGAAGAACTGTAGGTTATTGGTGGAACGGTCATCCATGTGGACTGTCACCCAGAACGATGAGTCTTGTGTGGGAGGAAAGGGGCCTCTTTGTGTGCTTCCATTCTTGCCTTCCTTGTTCAAGTGTTTGGAAAAACCCTTCCCTGGGATGAGGTTCCTATTGGGATAACAGACTCAAAGTAGAGGCTTACTTCTCTCAATCCCATCATCATAATTTCCACTTACTAAGTTCATGGAGTTTGAGTTCCCATAAACCCAGTGGTGAGCTCCTCAGGAGAATGCATCCCTGTTTCATGTTGTAAATGTCCCTCCCCATCGTGGTAGATTTCAAGCTACAAGCCTGGTATCAGCTGAGTCACAAAATTCCTGAAACTTTAACTGCTGGTTGCTATGAGCCTGGTTGAGCTTATTCCTACCTACGACTGTGACTCATTCCCCAAATTTCCTCTGCTCACGTCACAGCTCTCTGCTCTTTCCCAGCTTCATCCTGTCTGATATGCAGAAGACATTCAGAGTTTCCCCAGGCAGGCTCTTGCTCTTTGGGCTCAGAAGTAGATTTTCCATGAACTTACTGAAGTGTCAGTGCCAGGACCCCGAACCTGCATGAATATCTTCTAACACTCAAAAGAGCCCTAGTGATTTTGTGATGATGATCTTAAAAATCACTTTAAAAAATAATATGAAAGTCTCCCAAGAGCCATGAACAGTACGGCTCCAACAAGTCTGACTGTCCCTGTGCAGAACATATAATTGGCTGCTGAGTCAAACAGAAGAGTGGACAAACCATGTAGCCTAGGTGATGGCCATAAGGACTAAGGTTCCTAGGCTTCTTGGCTGAATAAACTGAAGTGGCTGCTGCCCATGGCCACTCCCATCTTGGAAAGTCCTCCTGTGGATGCTACTGCACTGTAGGTTTTTCCTTCTGTCGCTCCATCCCCTAACTCAGTGATGGCAAACCTTTTAGAGCTTTCAAACAGCCCACTGTGGCACGTGTGTCATAGGTTTGCCGCCACTGCCCTGACTCCTCTACCCAGGATATTGAAAATCTGCACTGCTTAGCATCAGCCAACACCAAGCCCAGCCTCTCAGCACCTCCAGATCACACACAGGTAGGCAGCTATGCCCCGACTGCCAGTCTGCTAAAACGGTTACTCACGCGGTCTCTAGCTTTTGTGGTGTCAAGTAATGGATAGAATCTTCTTTACCCATCAGAGATAATGTCAGCAATGTTCTCTTTAAAACAAGGTTTTAGATGTTGAGAACACCTGGGTGTTACTAGCTAGATGGTTTTTCCTATATTTCAGCCAATACTGGGCAAGTTCACAGAGAGATGGACCCTGGTGAATTCAGACACAGAGCCTTGGGTGGGCGGGTCTAGAAAGACAGGAAGCACCTCCCCCATCCCGCTGTGGGCCCCGCCCCACGGCCCCGCCCACCGTGAGGCCGGGTGCGGCCTGAACCTCACTGACACACTTTCATCTGTTCGTAATTAGGAGTTTATTTTAAAATGTTCTCTGATTCTTTCTTCAAGCATTATCTATAAATCAAATTACAGAAAAATAAATTTGATTTTGAAAACATTTGGGGAATATTTCTCTTTTTTTTGGCATCTTGTTGGTGTGCAGTTTTTAGACTTGGGAAAGGAAACATGAGAAATACAACCTACTGTGGTGTACACACACTGGAAAAAAGAAAAACTCCAAAAAATGCAAAGGAGACTCGGCAGCATGAATGACAAAGCACACTATATAAACCGTGAAAGGTTTAAGTCCCAATGATTTAAAATCTGATCGTAAGAAAAGATAGGGTCACTAACTAGATTTTAAAAAGAAAGAAAGAAAAGCTGAGATTTCGTACTCTGTAGAAGGATCTTTGGCCTTAAAATTGAGGGATTCCTTTCGTAGAGTTTTGTTTGCTTGTTTTGGTACCGGGGATTGACCTTAGGACCTTGTGATTACGAGGCAGGCAACAGTGCCACTGAGCTAAATCCCCAACCCGAAATCGAGTGATTCCATTTAGTTAGTGCCTCATACTTTAAATGCGGTTTAGTTTACAGGTTTCCCATAGCGCACGCCTGCTGAAGAATAATCGAGTACAGCGATAGAAACGCGAATCTGCGACAGAAACGCGAATCCGCGGCAGAAACGCGAGTCTGGGGCATCTGGTCGACCCTTCTACGTCCCCAAGGGCGGGCGCCTGGCACACTGGCCTCAGTGCCCTGCGCTGTCCTGCTGCTCGGGAAACTCCTTCCCTCTCCTACAGAGTCTTCAGGCTTTATCTGCCCCCCAGCTCCATGTAAATTTATTTTCCTTTCGTGCTCAAATTCTCTTGTAATTTGCTCTCCTCCAGTTGCACTTAGTTTATATATTCAGCTCAGCTATTTTCACCTTTCTTTCCCATTAGATTCCTTTTAAGAGGGGGCTCTGTCTTAGGCTTTTCTGTAACCTACGGACCCTAAAAGCTGAGGTTCAGGGATGGCAGATAATAAGAAGGGGAAGATGTTTAAGGAAAAGTGATTTAAGACTATTCTCATTGAGAATGTTAAATATCAAGAATTTTAAGAAACAAAAGGCAGTAGTGTTTAGGCTCTGGGTCAAATGGGTCGGTTGAATCCTAGCTCTGCCACTCAAACACCGTGACCATGGGGAAATCACTAGTTCTTTGGGCACACTCTTGTCTCTAAATTGAGAAATAATAGTTACTGCTTCCCAGGCTAGTTAGGGATTGATGGTGAGATACACACATAAAAAGCTTAGGGTAGCACCTGCAGAATAAGCTCTGGAAATGTTAGCAATTACTATTAGCAGTAAATGCATATTGATAAATTATTTTAAGCTCTGGAAATGTTAGCAATTACTATTACTAGTAAATGCACATTGATAAATTATTTATATGAATGCATAAAGCAGAGCTATGTACCCATTAATTTGTGGGAACAATAACTTACAGGAAGACCTATCAAAAAAAGAAAAAATTCTTAAATATAGAAAACATTAAAAAAAATGGCAATGTTTCTAATTTTTAAATAGCCACTCCCTCCAAATTAGAAACAATAGTTTTTGATTCTAAGGTTGTGGTAATGATATAAATTTTTTTTCTGTGTATTTTATTTAAAAATTTCTAAGTTATCTACTTACATATATTAGTTTATAAATAAATTTTATATTGTTTCTTAATTAATTAAGGATTCATATGAATAAAAGTTCAAAATAGAGTATGGTATAATTCTATAAATTTAGACTGAAAAACCAACTTTATGTGAATGCAACAAAAAATTAATGTTGGAACATTATGAAAATCTAACTCTTACCTTAAAGAGGAATATGGAGAGAAACATCTAAAGGAAACTTCTGGAAGTTTTCTAATGAGCTGATGCCCCATGCTGGGTTTCTGGAAACATCAGAAATCTTCAGATGCTCACATGGCATTTAGGTATCAAACTGACTGTTAAGGATCAACACTTGTGGACGGAGAAGAAAGCACAATTCATCAAGAAGATAAATTGTGATGTGCTCAACAAGGCCTAGGGACCTTTGTGTGGACTCTAGGGTGTCTATTGTCCGCCTGAGTGTCTGTGGTCTGACCATGCCAAACTTAGTCACTAAATGTGGGCTACTCTAAGTGTTTTCCACACATTAACACATTGAATCCTAATAACATTTCGCTTTACTGGTTTTATATTTGTTTTACCTGTAAATTTTCCAGACACAAATCTCAGGCCCAGGGAATTTAAATGTCTTGAGCTCATACCTCTCATACAGTTAACTCCAGGCATCCTGACTAGAGCATGATGAACTAGCTACTGTGTTACTGTGGTCAAGAAGAGTCGTCATTGTCTTGTAGGAGTTAGGTCATCAGACCTACCTGAATTTTATTTCAGGATAATAGAATAAATCAATGATTGAATTCTAAAAACATTTTTGGTAATGATTCAGTTTGTGAAAATTCATGGGGGAGTAAGTATGAGCGATAGACAGATATAACCACTTCCCAGAAGTACAGGGGAGTAGTGGCCATGTGCATGAACCTTAAATTAGAAACACTAAGAATAAACATAATGTTCATGAATCCAATACGTATTCACCAGAAATGCATCTCACCAAACAAATGCCTGTTCTTCCAAAACATGTTTATGGATTGATGGAGAATGGCTGTGGATTGTGTTGTAAAAGGCATTCTTGTAATTTCTATTATTAAAGAAATTAACTACACTTTAAATTAGGCAGAATACAGTTGCTTACATGACATAGCTTGAAAATGTATTTGTTTCTATTTTCTGTTGCTAAAACAGACTACGGCAGTCTAGGTCATTTATAAAGGTTGCATAGCTCGTGGTTCTGGATGCTGTGGCATCCAGCAGGGCCTCTTGTTCCATCTAACATAGGGGAGTGGGAGGACAAGCAGGTGCACGTACAAGAGGCCTCACACAGGAAAGAACAACTGCTCTCCAAGCACCTACATCAGTCCCCAAGACTCATGCCTTCAAGAAAGGGCATCGATCCTTCTTAGTAACCCAGTGTCCCTTTAGAAGCCCCTCCTCACAACAGCAATTAAATTCCAAACCTGGTGTCAGAGGGGATGAGCCATATTCAGATTACAGTGGTACTTCAGAAAGCTAAGTCTCTTGAAGTCCTGTCACAGAGAGGTCTAACGGTTCTTACTGATGTTACTGCTTCAGGCACTTTTCAAAGAGCCATTCAAGTGATGGCTACCTGGGGAAGATCTGTAATGTGGGGATAGCAAAAAAGACAAAAGTCCTATTTGAGCCGGGGATTTAGCTCAGTGGTTTTGCCGCCTGCTGAGCAAGCACAAGGATCCGAGTTCGATCCCTGGTACCAGAAAAAAACCAAAAAAACAAAATCAAAAAACAGATTCAAAAGTCTTATTTGAGTGTAAAATTTCATAGTTCTTAATCCCATGTGTTATGGTTTAAATAAAAATGTCCCACAAGAGAGATTATGTAAAGGTGCAAATTTCCAGTGATGAATGTCATTGTATTGTATACCTAAAATGTATCAATAAAATAAAATTTAAAAAAAAGTCCCCCGAGGGGCCTCATGTGTGGGTAGGCAAGGCTATTGGAAGGTTGTCGTATTGTGTGGGCCCGACAGCTGGCTTGCTGTCAGGAGGCTGTCACTGGGATGGGACCTGCAAGGATGTACCACCTTCTTTGGCTCCTCCTGTCTCTCTGCTTCCTGGCTACCACAGATGGAGTGAGCGGCCATTCTCCACCAGACCCTCCTACCATGCCATCTGTGTCCTGCAGCCAGCTGGCTATGGACTGAAACCTCTAAAAATTATGAACCAACCTCTCCTCCTTTAAGTTGTGTGTGTCCATGTTGTGTCCCAGTGACAAGAAAGTGACTAAGACTCCATGTAATTTGCATCCTCCACACTGGGGAGAAACTAATAACTATATAAATTAGAGAGTATAGGACTGGAGTACTAGGGAATGCTAAAGAATAAAGTAGACCTTGTGTCCACATTACCTTCTACCATCGATTAGCAGGATACAGTGACATGACCCAAGGTCAGTAGTACTAGACCAGGGCTAAATTCACCCAGGGATACCAGTAACTTGGTCCTCTTAGAAATAAAATTAGAGGAACAGAAAGAAGAAAAGAGTAGCTGTGAAGAATCTATAATCATCACAAAGTTCAAACATCTTCCACTTTTTGCATTTCTGCAGTTTTTCAGTGTGCAGAGTGAAAACCACCAAATAGTACTATGTGAAATACTGAAAGGTATTAAGCTTTGTGAAAATAACCAAAGAGATCCCTATGTGTGTTATACTACCTTAAACTTTAGAACAGCAGAAGAAACAAAGCCTTTGCTGTCATTTGAATTGCTATGGGGTCGATCCAGCAATTTTTTTTTTCTTTTTTTTTCTTAGATTCTTTTATTGGTACATTTTAGGTATACAATACATTTACATTTATCATTGGGTGCTTGTACCTGTACATGATATATTTTTGTTCTTATTTTTTCCCCATTTCCTGTCCTCCCTTCATCCCCTCCAACCTTCCCTATTTACAAAGATGTTGTTTCCATTTTTTCTTTTTCTCATAATTTTTCCTTTCCCTTCTTTCCTTTCCCCTTCCCCTGCCACTTCCCCTACCCCTTTGGACCATTTCTTCCTATTTCCCACTATCAATCATTCATTTTAATCATTATTTACACTTTCAGTTTCTCACACTAGAGAAACTGTTTGGTATTTATACATGTGTGTCCTATTTATTTCACTTAAGAGTATGTCCTCAATATGCATCCATTTAGCTATAAATGTCTTTAGTTTCTCAT